TTTACAGGCATGTATTGACAGAAGTGTTCTATTAAGGCATTCCTTGCGAAAAGTGTCAATTCTAATGAATAAAGTTAATTGAACATTAAAAACTAACACTTAGCTGGGCAAGAAGAAAAGAAGGGAGAAGTAATGAATCACTAAACACTGCATATTACGACATGTATTACAACATCTATCTAAATGCAAATAAGATACACGAGTAATGTCGAATTTTACTAGTCAAGCAAAAAAAAAAAATTGCACAATATTGGAAACTCTGCAGTGCTTTATTGGCACCGAATAGATGAAAACGCAGACTTTGACATTCGCATGAAATTTTGTTTATATTTTTCAAATGAAAAATGGGTATATATAATGATATTTTTTTTGGAAAACTGTTATTTCTAGTATGCCAAAAGAGTTGTATGATGAAAAGTTATTATCGAAGATAAGTCTACATACAGCAAAGTTCTCCATGAAGAATATAAAATGTATATCCAGTACTTCCGCTTCATACCGATTACTAGTTCACAGTAGCTGTATAAGCAAAAAGTTAGTAAAAAGTAATCAAGAGGCATTATCGATATAATAAAAAAGCTGCCGCATAAATCTTATATTTCTAGCTAAAAATTTCAGTCATCAGCATTATTAGTATAAATCCAAGAGATTATTGCCTCTAGTCAATTTTCAATCTTTATTGAAAGCAATGATGTGTTAAATAATGAAGTATCTAATTGTCCAATGCGTAGCACACATAGTCGAATATTTTGTTCAAAATATATCTAAATTATAAATAGTATCAACGAGTACTCTATAATAGAGTTACGGTAATTACTTTTCTAGTTATTTGTATTTTGTAATCTCCGTATCGGCATGAAGAATAACAAAGATAAACATAAGAATATGACGTTCCTTGGAAAAAAGTACACGTTATTTCTAGGCTATAAGAATTTTTCAGCCTGTCGAGAACAAAATAAAAATACTCTGTTAGGTGTGAGAATTTCAAATATTTCATTGACTACTAAGAGAAGTTTATTAAGACAAAAGTAAACTAGACATTTACGTCCCATCATGGTTAGTGAATTTTTTCATATCAGATTATTGTCTTGTAATTTATGCGGGATTATTACCAGATCAGGTTTTGTAAATAGTATTATAACGATATGGAAATGAATATCTCAGAAGGATAAATATTGAAACATTCCATTTTAGTGTTGGAATAATATCGTTTTGAATATTACATTATTATTTCGATCAAGAAATTCATTTCCATTTACATATATTACTATTCTGAACCTGGTTGTGATGCTTGTGTTGAGTGCATGATGAGTATAATTGAAACGGTTAATATTAGCACAAGAATAGGGAATACAAATAAAATATAGAATTCCTTTTAATTGGCACGTGCAGTTTCACGTAATTATATCGATGCTATATTATTAAAGTTTATCATTGCCTATAGAATAATATACTTTGATTGACATATCATACTTACATGCTAACACTAAAGATGAGTAGATTTTCAATTAGTCTGCAAATCATAATTTATAGAAGTACGTACCAGTAATTACATGACATCAATCTTTAAATTTATACAAATTATCAACAACAGAATTTAACTGGTATGATATTTTCTAAATTAATATTTTAGATATTTTCTTTAGTAAGGAATATATACATATATGTATATTCTTTTTTACACAGTAAGATTATCAACCGGTCAATATCTTGTATCAATAAATATTTATTAAGTGTTTTAATCTGTTAAAAAAGTTACATAAATTGTTATTGTTAAAACAGCAATCAAGTAAGAAGAAGAATCATAAATTATACGAATCATAATAAATAATTTAATAATGTATTATTTACATTGCCACGTGCAATAATAGGTTAACATTGAAAATATTATTCATACTCTATTAGTCTAATCATAATAACTCATATAAAATGCATTTACGTCGGTAATTGTCACATACCTATTTAAAATAGACTGAAAAATCAGGATCAGTTGATAATCACTGTGCGTTGCGAAGAGACTGTACTTTAAACTTTACAATAGTTACTAAATATAAATTAAGACTTCGCGTACATACATAGGTAATATTACTAGCGTAATTAGACCAAAAATGCTGTTTTTCTAAATTTGATCCTGCTTGCATTATCTGTTGAATATTTAGATGAATATTTTAAGATATTCACTTATCACATAAACTTTCTCGTATTTAATTGTCATATATTAATTAAATGATAGAATTCGTGACAGTTGTTCTATTGCAACGAAATTAGAAGATTATTGACGAAGAAAACTTTTTTAAATAATAACCGCAATCAAATTTTTAAATAAATTCAAGTAGCATTGTAATAGAAGATACAAATATATTCGGCGGATCATGCAATCAGTATATTTTAATTAAATTATTCATTTTAATTCTATGATAAGTATCAATTATTATAAGATTAATATTATGAATATTAATTATTATTATTTTTAAAATGCATTATCGATTAATTTTATGTACGATTTTAATGAAAATGATAGCATGCATTGTTGATATAAAATTTTGTACACATTGCTTCTATAAAAGCATAAATTTTAACATTGTAATCTTTTGGTCATATTAACAACAAGTTCTCAATTTATACTCATGTGTTTATTTTGGCAACGATTAAAGGGTCATGATTAAATTTTCAAATAATTATACTCTTGCAAAGAACATAAAATTTACGTACCTATTTGAACATAAATAATCAGCTTACATTTCTACAACCAAGTAATTTCACAATTAAAATAAAAAAAAAGCGTAGCAATAAAATCAACCCTTTTTGCAAAAATCGATGTAAATTATTGAAGAAAGAATAACGAGAAACAAATGTGAACATAATGCAGTTGAAAAGAAACGAAACTGATCATCTTGCTATTTTTTCCTAAATAATCGCACAATTACTATTTCTGCATTGATTCTATATGCCAGGTGAGACATTTAAAACAGGATATTTGAATAACTCGATTGCTATCGATAATAGAAAAAATTACAATCAATTTATTCGGGTTATTTGTTTTAAATACCTAGCCTGGTATATATATATATATGGCTATATTATAAAATCGATCGAATAGCAAATATATGTATACATTATTTATATATATATATATATATATATAATGTATATATTTTTTAAAGAAAAGAAATTTAATTACAATAGATCGAATTTTAAAAGAACTATGACATTTTAAATGGCTCACGTTATTATATAAAAATATCATTCTTATTAATATGGCAACACTAAAATTGGTTTATAATATTGTTAATTTTTACCACTACCGTGTACATAAGAGATTTTACATATGGTGTAATAATTAACTTCAGATATTTATTTTATGAAAAAAGAGAATAATGCATAAAAAAGAATTTTATATAGTTAATTATTTGTAATATTTATCGTCTTTATTATCGATAAAATTCAGCTACAACTTATTAACGTTGTATTCTTGTTTTTTATTTTCCAATCAGTTAACTATAAAACTATAACTAAAAAAAGCTTTCATTGCATTAAGTTCAAATTAAAATAAAAAAAAAACAAAGGTTTGGAGAGTAAAAATACTAAGTAGATAAATTAGAGAATTTTGTACCCCGTCGTCGATAATATAAATTTTTACCTGAAATATGTAGTTGTGAAAATGTTTTAAAGAGAGCGCCACTTACATCCAAGTTGCGAGAATCGCATCAGCGATTGTATCGAATTCTTGACACGATCTATTACTTCCGTAAGTTCAATTTTATTAAGTGAATTCATTTTGATTTGTACAAGCTAAACAAATTTAGTACTATAACCACGGAGGATAGATACCAGGAGTCCAAACAGTATAGGATTTTTCACATTATTTGTGGTAGTCATTTCTTGATCCAGATCATAGTTCTCTTTTTTGCCACTGGCTGCGCAAGTATTCAGAACGTACCGATACTATTATTATTATTACACGTAAATACGAACTGGTTAACCTGGCTCGTGGCATGTAAATTAAATAAAAAGCTTAGAAGAAGTTGTTTTAATGGTGGTTGGTACAAAAACAGTGAAGATTGACACAATGTTTGAAATATTAGATGATGTTTCTAAAAGGAATATCTCGATTTTCGTTGGCTGTGATGAGCATAAGAAACAAGAAAAATTATTAACAATTTTTTAATAACGCGGGGGCATTTTCTTGTCAAATGTTTTAATAAAAGTCCTACGAAGAGAAAAATTAAATTTAAAAAATATCGAAAAAATTCGAAATTATTTTAACTCATATTTACCATCAATAAAAAAAATTAATTACTCTAATTTAAAAAATAATTTAAAATTCTCGATTACGAAAGCAATATTCCGGATACTCTTAAAACTATAATAATTTGGTTTTTAAATATTAAATATGTTTTATTTGTACTATTAAAAAATAATATGTTTGACAATAACTTATTTATTATTTTTTTTTCATCAAGTATATTTATCGTGATACGCAAATAAATGGGCATTTGACAATGTTTAAAAATATTTTTACTAGTAAATTTTCATAGAGACAATTTTTAATAATTTTACATGGAAAGATTAAAAATGAACTATAAACTCAATTTATTAAAATTTTTCTTCGCATAAATCTATTTTTTTTAAACAAAATGGTTTGGTGCCTACTGATTTTTGTATTATGATTTATTAATATCAGATGTTTTTAACTTTGTAGATTATCTCTTAAGCTTCTCGATATTGCTGAGTTGAAAAATTTTGAGGTTTCTAAAAATTTCCTTAAACTTTTATTTAATTCCACGTTCCTCAAAATATTTTTTTTCAGAGCTGTCAATAGCAACAAGACTTCCCGCGTAAGTATTTAAACGAGTACTCAGTAAAAAGTAGCGCGCCCTACCGGCAAAATATCTTGTCCCCTAAATTGATACCGTCCTTTCAACATTACGTTCGGACTCCTGGTATCTATCCTCCGTGACTATAACGATAGATATTTAAATAATCAGTTTTAGCCATAAAATGATAAAATCGATATTTTATTATAGCAAAAATTTGTGAAAAATAAAAAGAAAAAGAAAGTTCTGCTTACGCTTGCGCGCACATGTCATAACATCTTGTTCAACGTTCTGTGAATTAGTTGTCGGCAATTGCATTGACCTCGAGCTTATCCTTGACCTTGGGCGTGTCTTCGACGTACGAAGCGAATATGATCGTGTCGAACGAGCCCTGACCTAACCTATTCTAGGCTATGTCTCTGTCTTTCGCATACAGACAAAGCCTAGGAGAGGCTAAATCAAATTACTCGGTGTTTTTTTTTTCGCTACATTATTATATTTTGCACAAAATATCTTTATATATGGGTTAGATTAATATTTATCCGTTAAATTTTTTGTAAATAAATGAAGAGCGTAAAGAGAAGCACTATATAGCACTGTATGTAGAATGGAATCTCTTTCTTTTTTTAATGTCCTTCGAATACGTAATCTTTGATTTGCCTTTCTTCATTGAAATGATCAACAACAACTGAATCGAAATTATAATAAGTTTATCGAGGAGATTAATTAATTACATTGATAAAGCTTCGAGAAATGTTAAAAATAAAATAATATGCAAATTAGTAGAATAATAAGAGTGCAAACATATTTGCAATAATAATATCGATATGAATATTATGGCTGTTGAATCAATTTATAAATTGTATTTTACAGTAGGTTAGTCGTCGCGAATCGCAAGGAAATTGTGTCATGCCTAAAAATATCCAAAGCACGCAGGAAAATGTGAAAAGGTCGTACGGACAAGGAATAAAAAAACTAAAGGAATTGCACAAGAGAAGTTGATTTGGTATTCAAATCACCAGTTATGCGCCCGCCTCTCTCATGGTAGATAGCGTGTGGTAGTTGTAATATGGAGGTTTCTTTCCTGAGAGTACTTTTTCTCTTCTTTCTTCCTCGCTTTCATTCGCATTGTAAGCTATCTTAACTATTATTATCTGTTTCTCGCACTGCTTTTGGATTCTTTTCTTTTTATTACATCACCTATTGCAGGATACTTTTTTAGAAAATCTCGACACAAAAACGAAGAAGTAGACAAAAAGAAAAATAAAAAACAGATAAAAGGCACGAAAAAATTAATCGACAGAGAATTTGAATGATGTATATTTTATCTCATTAACGACGATTGTCGATAAATGATATTTCCGAAATAAAAACTGGAAGAATCTCATTTCTCGAAATAATGTAAACAAACTTTTTCCACTAAGTAATTCAATGAAGCACATTTTTGTAGACAAAGGAAATAAAAATTTCAATCAAGAGATTTCAATGCACGGTTATGCGATACTTCTTCTCAAAGAAGACATCAACGGCCGCATAGAACATAGTCCGAGGTTGCGTATCGTACACATGTCATACGATGTAAGTATTAGAAGTACATACATAAATATATAAAATATGTGGATAACAAAAAATTGAAAAATTCCATACATTTGAACGATATGGACGATACGATTTTTTCAAAAACCTTTAGGGTCCTAATAGTTAATTAACTTTTAAACGCATTAACGTTGTTAATGAAAGAATAAGAAAATTAGAAAAAAAACTGATTCATTTTCTGTCGTTAAAGAACACTCGCGAAGCAAGATCTTACAAAGTAATTTGTTTTGTTGATAGATAATATCTCATTTAGAAACATTGAAAAACGTGCGATGTAAAAAAAAGGATTTAAATCAGCAGACTGTTGTTAATCCCATCTTGGGAATTAATCGAGACGATCGATATTTTTTAAAGAATACGTCAATAATTTACATATTCGACAAAAAAGAAAGACAAGGTTGGAGTATAGTTTCCGATAATAAATTAATATACGTATTACGTATTCGAAAGAATATGAATTTGATTGTATCCGTGGACGTAATTTATTTCTCACAATAATAGTTCTCTCTGTTATTGCCTTCCTTCTGTAATATTTTTTTCCTCGTTTGGAAAAGGGTAGACTTATTGCGTTTAAGAATAAATAAAATATCGGTGACGTGTTGAAAGACAAAATCACATTTAACGGGGACCAGAGTAGAGTCTTTTAGCGCGTGTTGTCACGGAAAATACGCACAACGTGTGCGCACACATCTCGTAGCAACCTGTACGCGCACTAACCACTAACCGACGAACCGCGGGAGGCCAAAGTATGTTCGCGAGCGCAACTCAGACGATATATACGTATCTCTACTATATACGCGCGTTAAACCACGTGAGACTGGCCAACGTCTTCCATGGGAACGTTTGGTGGGGGAGGAAGAGATATAGAAAGAAGGAGAAGCTCAACCTACAAGTCGTTCTGTGCTTCTCTCTTTTTTTTTTCTTTTTTTCTCTTCTCTCTTTTTCTTTCGCGAATTAACCATCACCACCCGCGATTCGTCACAAAGAGGAAGGCCACCACCTTAGCTTGCAATCTTTTTACCAAATCTAGTTTCACTTCGAACTGTTGGATCGGACCATCTCTCGAATGATACGATTATTTGTAATCGAGTCAATATTTTTACAAATACATTTACAACATTAATTATTTTATTATTATTACTACCAATTCTGTGTTGAATGTATCATTTTTAGATGATCACAGAGTATCCGTTTTTTTTACGCTTCTTGTTATGATAATAACTATTTATACAAGACTCTTGGTATCCCTTTTTTTACTTACAGATTCCTTTCCTTTCTCTTTTCCCGTTGCTTGATGTAATTTATATTTTGTTATTGTAATTCACTGCTTCTTTCGGTTTCAGTTATTGCTGACATAGTAGTAGTAGTGTCTTGTTCACCAAGAATAGACATCCGCTTTTTTCTTTGCCACCCCATAGATGACGGTGAGTTATCACTCGGCATTCTCGGCGATCTTCGATCGACGAGTTTTTATGAAGGTCGTATGAGGTACTACAGAACGTCGTCGTTGTCGGCTGGGCCGCTTACCTTGCTCAACTCGCGTTTATATATAGTTAATGCACGTGTTTGCACCATTCACGGATATTCAAGTAGGTCGACACTAGGTATCTATCTATCTCTGTTACAGGTCCTACCCGTAAATTTGTACGAGAGTAAAAAGAGGAAACGTGCTCATCTATCCTCCTTCAAGGACATGCCGAGAGTTTGATGACGAAAAAGAAAAGAAAAGGATGAGAACGTACCTCGTGATTCAGGATGTGTTATCGGCATGCATTTTGGACGCCGGCTTGAATTCCATTTGTCACCTTTTTCCTTCTTCCTGAAAAAACGCACCGTATATATTATAGGGTGTATACAGGGCGGGATCAATAACTTTGATCATATTCAATATTTGATATTAAAGACATACGAAATGTAGAGATAGTTTAAAATGTATTAAGAGTAATATACCAAGAATAGATTGGTAATTTACTTTGTACTATTTTGTTGTGCTTACAATAATAACAATAATTATTATTATTATTATAAGTTAAACACACAGCATAAGCCAAAGTAAGGGCAGAATAATATATTTTGAGGTAAGCTAAGAACCATCAATTTCTTACTACTACTATTTACTTCCACATCTCTCTCTCTCTTTCTCTCTTTATTCTCTAATATTTAAATTGGCATGTATCCTAAACACTAATTATTTTTCGACATAGACGAGTTATTACTTTTCTATAAAAAATGTCGAGCAAAAACATATGATTTCATTGAAAAAAAAAACACAGCTCATTTTGATATGTCCATATGATTCGTATAAAAATTCTTACTACCATGTTATGGTCTCTTCCATACCGTGTGACTTTTGCAAACTAAATTTCTCCATATTTCGAAAAAAAAGAAGATATTCAAGGTGATTAAAGTTATTGCTTCACCCATTATATATATATTCCTTACAGATTTTCTACCGGGTGATCTTCAATATTTTATTATAGTAATATCTCGTGATAATAGGATGGATAAGTAGATGTTATAGTAACAATCGAGATATCATTTATAAAATCTCATCATTTTCTTCTATTATTAGCTACTAATTACTATAATTATTTCTAACTGCATAACAATCCTAATCTTTGTTTTAAATAATTTTCTATGCATATACTGACTTATTAATAAGAAGGTTCCTTTTTTCCAACTTATCCATCCAACGTCTGAAGATACTTGCGATTGTGTCGAGTAGTATTCCGAATTCTCGTTTGCAACTCTTTCATGGAGATGGAGATGGCGGCAACCTACGATAATTTATTAACTAGTCCAGCGAGTCAAACCTGTTGCTCTTCGATCCAGCTTGTTTCGTTCTTCGTCACAGCACGCTCACAGAAACCGTATTCTTTAATATCTTTTCGTGTACGAGTATTGATAAGTCCGTTTTATTTTTATTTATTTTTTTCCTCTTAATTATTTAGAGAATATTGAAATATATAAGTTCGCGAGTTGAAAAGATTCCTGAAAGAAAATGATAACCTTTGACGGACACAGAGTCGAGCGTAGTCGAGAATATGAAACCGCTATGTAAGATCGCATCATTTTCAAGAGCAATGTACAAACGATCATCGTTCATTTAATTATGGTTATACAAGCATATAATTCAGTAACATCCACCGACATTTCGTGGTACATATTCTTGTATGTTCGTAAGTCATTGTCGTATGAGGAATTAATGATTACATGTTGTACGTTAATGAGTATGGTTACTTATAGCATGCACGCTTGCTCGTTAATTTCCAAAGACCCACTTGCTTCCTTTATTTTATACCTTTATTTATCTTCTACGATGGCAAATGAATTTTCTTTCCCATGAAAACGATGATGCATTTATTTCGACCATAAATCTAAAATGTTGTCATCGATACGTCGCTAACTCTGTACTGTAAATGTAACCCGTTCGCCTTTTACAAAGATTTCAAATTAAACTTAACTATGGTTGCAAAAATATTTGCTTTTTTTTTTTTAACAAAACGAGTTAATTCATTTTTATTGAGAAAAAAAGAAAGCGGCTCTCTTTGACCTCCTCCGATGAAAGAACATGTTACTCACCAACTGTTCACATGAAATACAAGCTATACCACTAAGAGACGAATCGCCTAAGAAACGATTATATTATTATTATTATTTTTGTTAATAATAGAATATCTTCTATTATTACTTGGTAATTTATTTACAAAAATTGTCATTATTACGTTTTAGCATATTGAAAAGGTGTAAAAAATTTCTTTAGAAATATTTCAAATTTTATTCCTACGTTCACCCGCTTTCGTGCGCATTTAACGTCATGATATTTATTCAAACTCTTCTAAATAGCTTGAATACTGGTTTAATGATAAATATTGAATTGCTAATAGTTTAATAATTATAGCTTGAAAAGTCTTGTTGTAATAGTAAATGACTGTAAAAAGATTTTTTTCTCCTTCTGTCTTTTTATCTGTAGACAATTTAAATGAATTCGAAATGCAAAGAGAAAAATGGTCTAATCGATAGGTCGAAAAAGTGGCCATTTATAAATATAGACGCGTGAAGAGTACCATCGTACCGTTGAACATGTTTCAAGCAAACGAGGTCTTCTTTAGAATACGCTCTTGGTGTGTCCTGCCCTGAGGCCTTCATAATTTTCTTACCAAGATAAAATCGCCCTGGCTAAAAATACTTTCAAATATCCGCTGTCGCTTGCACCATTGCAGGTTACCAAAAGCTTACGATTAATCGTATCAGAATTTTATTAACATTATTTCTACTCCAAGGCATTTAACAGATCCTCTCTCTCTCCCTATATATATATATATATATTAGGGTGGGTCAAAAAAATCAATTAATTTTTTTTTTACAAGCGCCACGGAAAAATGGGTTGCTAGACACCTTGAAAAAATTCTCACCAAATATGAGCTCTTAATTTTAATAGGAAGATCATCCGCATCGCAGTTTTTATTTTTTTCTCAGTCCAATAGAATAAAATTCATACCTCATCATTAATTGATTGTATAGAAAAATGTTCTAGAAGAATTTTGTAGGAAATTTAATGTTCTACAAAAAAGGTATCTTATATTTTTTCCGTAAACCTCACCATTTGAATGATATTGAAGATTTAAATTTGATGATTTTTAGACAAATTTCATTTTTGTTTATAAATTTTATAACTCGACAATAAATGACTATTATAAAATGCGCAATATAAATTTTTGTAGGAAATTAACTGCTCTATAAAAATGGTGTCTTATGTTT